ATAGACTGTGCCAGCCTCAGGTGTGGTAGTACTCTCTACAGCAGGTAATCACTCGACCTGCTGACACCTTAAATCCATACCACTGTATTTCCTTTGAAGTTGTTATTGTATTGTACTTCGAAGACATAACCTGGGTTTACAATAGCTAAGATCATTCACTACCTTGATAATGAGACATAGTACATACTTGATATAGAAATGTGTAGATCTGTTACTTAGCTGTTCTCAACCTAGATATTTATTCATAACTCTTCATACCTTTAAAAGTTAATTGGCGATTATTGATAGGTAAAGTGATTCCAATGAACACATGTTACCACAATACACAGGTATATCAGGGTTATAGAGGTGCAATAAAAGGTATGTATGGGACGGATTTATATACATACGTACAGATGTAAAAGGCTCAATATATAGCCTAATTAGGTAAAGTACAATAACACTACTTAATGTGACATTGTACAGTGTGTGTGAGAGATTTAATGGTCATTAATCCCTCCATTAGTCAATTAGATCAGTGATTAATGGGAAAGGGGAGTCTTAATGAAAAAAGAGGCAGAGGAAGTTAGTCCTCTTACTGCCCATTAGTGACCACAACAATATTCAGCCTGGAACTGAACAATAATACATCAGCCTAATTAGGTGTACTTGTAATTAACACCTGAGTGATTATCTCTACTATATTAGACTAATTCTTTTTACAAGTAGTAACTGGTGAGGGGAGAAACACAGTGCCTTGTTCAAAAAGACATAATAAGATACCTGATCCAGTGTATTATATCCAGTTTTGTCTGTCACTTGGTAGCAGTAACCTGCTGTATAACAGTGTCGGTTTTATGACTGTTAGATAACTGATTGGTTGTTCTTAATGAATGAAAAATATTTATGAGATTTCACCATAAATTTACATAAATAATGATAAAGGTACATGCACCACACACATTCCTTAGTTATTGATGTTGTTTACTACACCAGTACACTAGACATTGATGTACACTAGTCATTGATGTACACCAATCATTGATGTACACTAGTCATTGATGTACACCAGTCATTGATGTACACCAGTCATTGATGTACACCAGCAATTGATGTACACCAGTCATTGATGTACACTAGTCATTGATGTACACAAGTCATTGATGTACACCAGCCATTGATGTACACCAGCCATTGATGTACACTAGTCATTGATGTACACCAGCAATTGATGTATGTAAACCAGTTATTGATGTACACCAGTCATTGATGTACACTAGTCATTGATGTACACCAGTCATTGATGTACACCAGCAATTGATGTACACCAGTCATTGATGTACACCAGTCATTGATGTACACCAGCCATTGATGTACACCAGTCATTGATGTACACCAGTCATTGATGTACACCAGCCATTGATGTACACCAGTCATTGATGTACACCAGTCATTGATGTACACTAGCCATTGATGTACACCAGTCATTGATGTACACCAGTCATTGATGTACACCAGCCATTGATGTACACTAGTCATTGATGTACACCAGTCATTGATGTACACCAGCCATTGATGTACATGGTATGAGTCCTTATTGTGGTTTTCTAAACCAGTAACACAAAAGAGAAGATTAAACAAAACAAAACTTTCCTATAACTGGCATGGCCAGTCTATATCCACTATTTATACCAAGCTGTTCCCATAGCTGTATGACTGTATGAGGGTGCACTCTACTAATAAGTTGTACAAGACTAACATGTACCCATTAGTAATACACAGGCACTGAACTGTACCTTTCATTTGTATTTGTGTGAAATATTGGTGGCTGTATGATGAAATACAGAACCTGTAGTAGGTATAAACATTTCATTGGGATGAGTCTGTATTATGAGAGTTTGAGAGACCATCACAGAGTTTGTTATAGACCCTGTGTAGTATTTCCCCAGAGGGGTACATCTGGAATTACTTCAGACAATAGTTGTCGATGTTGTACTATGATGTGACAGCCATTAGTGACTCATAGGTAATACAGTTATACTGTAGTACTTCACATTGACATTATTTGTTGACTTATATATATAGAACCTTGCAAGATTTTTTTTTTGTTTTTTTTTTAATTTCATTTTAAGCATACATATAGAGGCACAAAGCTATACTTATACAGGTAATGCCAATATATATAATGTATGTACAAATATTTTGTAGCTGCATCAAAGCAAATAAGCAAAGAAGAACTGTTTTTCAAAATTTTAATCCATGTTATTGTTTTGTATTTCTTATATATGATATGCAAAGTGTTTCTCAATTTGGAATGATATATGTATATATATATATATCATATATATGAGAGAGAGAAAGGAAAAGGATGTCACTTTCATATTCTTTCAGTGGGTGTTTATCAGAGTTACAATGAGATAAGAAGGATCCCCTCTGTCTGTCTCTTGTATGTCCAATTATAAGGTTTTAGCCTGATATTTAAAGCTCTGATTAAGATGTTTGAATGAAATTTTATTTGGCAAATTTTACATCATCTGGAAACTTAAGGTTGTCCTGTGTATATCTCTATCTTCTGAATCGAAGTATTTTCAAAGCATAAAAGATGTCAATGGTAGTATTACAGCTTTTAAAACCAGTGAAAAGTGACATTTGTAAAGTAATGTTTCTCCTACCTACCCATATTCGGTCAATTTTAGTAACAGTACAGTGCATGTGTTGAAATCTGTACTGCACCTTTACATCATGCTGATCATTTACCCATGAGGCAGACATCTTGTGTGTCCTCGTCATCAATTTCTACATGGCCTTTGATTTTGACCATAAACTTGACTTGTGATAATGATTTATTGTTTTGTAAGGTGTTAGAAAATACCTTGTTTAACTCATCCCAAGCTAAAATTGATTTAAATGAGATCTCTAAGAGTTATGTTATGATTTGAAAGAGTTGTGATATTTACAGTTTCCCACCCAAATTTTATGATCCATCACATTCATTTCACAAACCTATTTTTCTTCAGTCAGTACTGAAATGACAGGTGCCCTATATAGCTACATAGATGTATCTACCTTATTGAGGTATGTCATTCAGAAACCGCATATATAATTACTTTACCTTTCATTAATGTCCAAGCAACAGACAAGAGTCAAATTTCATTATTTTATGGACTGAATGACATTAGTTATTGAGTTTACCTGAAGCTGACTTCACACAGCCATTCAAATGGTATTATAATGTTATGTAAAAATATGGTAAATAAATCCTATACTTACAAGTGTATATCGTGCTTGATAGATGTCAATTGCTTGTTTAACATAATGACTACTTGTTCGACTTACTACAGGAGACACATTCACATATAGTTTTATCAAAATAAAAATAACTTCAGCAAATTTCAGTAATTCAAGACTCCTTTCAATCTACTTGGTAAAAGGCAAAAACCATGACAAACGACATAAAACATTTGCACTATTTTGGAGACATATTTCATGTTTGATGTATGTATATGTTTTTGTGTTGTGTATAATGAAATGGCAGACATGAAAATTATATCATATTTATCCAGCTTAAAAAATTATATGAAAAACAAAATGCTGTAATGTTGCCCTGTGTTTATAAGCTTGAGGCTGAAGTCAGTGATTCCATAGTTGGTTGTGTATAAGTGTTTTGTTTGAATGATGTGTTCTTGTGATCAAGTTTAAACTCAGTGTTTCCATATTTGGTTGTGCGTAAATATTTTGTTTGTATGTGTTCTTGTGATTGAGGCTAAAGTCAATATTCTCATATTTGGTTGTGCATCAATGTTTTTTTGTTGGTATGATTTGCTTTGTTTGGTTTAAGTTATAACATAAAATGTAGCCTCACACCACCATGACTTGATGGCACTTCATTCTTTGTCACCAAAGAGATGGGCATCGATCAATAAAGATCTGCTCCTTCTAGACCCTTGACTTCTGTCTTTTGTTTCCCCAGCACAGCTTACACAATGAGGGTAGCCATCTAGTGATTTAATACCTCATCCTCCTCCATTCACATTCATCGTTGTTAAACCTCTGTAGTTAGATAGCCATATTATATAACATTACAAAACAAATGTGAAAATGTTAAACTTTTAGGATGTTAAAGGTAATTTGTTACAGGCGATGAGAAGAAAATTTAATGTAGTGTTTTAAACCAGCAATTTGTTACAGCAGACACGAAAATATGTAGTGTTATTAGCCAGTAATTTTTGCTGCTGTAGCTGTTCTGTATGCATCAGGTAACATTAGGTATCAGATTTAGTGGTGCAGTACAGATTTAAAACCTACAATATACAACTCCTACAGTGGATCTGTAAGAAAGGACATATCAAGCTGTCATGCTAAATATCCCAATACATGCGTATTAGTTGATATTTTTTTATATTGTAACTGATATAAAAAAAACCTGTTATGGAAAATACTGATGACGAATATGCAGAAGTTATCTCATTTCAATGAAACAAGTGAAGGACTGTACATTGTTATATTTAAAGTAGACTATGTGAATTTTGCTGTTGGTGATATTTAAATATTGAAGAGCATACAAAATCAATACAAACAACAACATATATCTCTGATATACCTTTCTATATTTGACCTTCGAACCCTCTTGAAGCTCAGACAGGCTGAGGCTACACGACTAATCTGTATTGACAGATGGCTCAAGTCCCCTAGACTTGCTGCTATTGACTAATATTGAGAATAAATACATAAATTATCACATTTTTTTTTATTTTCCATACAACATGAAAATGTAGTATGATGTTAATGATTTTGTATGTGTATTATTGTTGATGGATTATGGTTGCTTATAAAAGTGTCAAGTTCCTTTGACTTACACATGGATTGAAATTCTTATATAATTCTCTGTACTGTTGGTAGTATATTTGAACCAATTCATGTCATGATTACCCCCAAATTGTTCAAGAATTTGCGTAATTGTGTATTTACTTTATTGATAAAAAAGATCAATCAATTTAATTGATGTAATTGTATATTTACAGGTGACCCTTGAGAGGGTACTAGGGTTGACCTCGGCCAGTAATGCTGCATTTGCATGTGACCCAAACTCTGGGACCATTGCCTACACAGCTGGGTAAGCTTTAAATAATGCTTCTGATATTCTCATTCAAGTTGAAATGAACATAAAGTATTTATCAGTTATTACTCAACACTATAGAATAAAACCGACTGCATGTTGTGCTTTAATGTGGTATAAGTATACATAGGACAGCAAAAATTCTAGTGATTGTCTACAAAAGTGACTGAGTGACCCTCCCTCTGGCTCCCTGAGGGGTATGATCACTGAGGAAGGAGTCCCGAGAGATCTGTCTTTGTTGTTATAGACTGTACTAAAGTGCTATTATCTTGAAAGCACACAAAAACAGTTCAAAAGCATACTTGGCTACAAAGAACGGCTGAGGGAATAGCATAAATTGAGGTGGGCAACAAGGGCCGTAGGGAGAGTTGGTTAGTAAAGACTAAGAATGCAATGTCTGGCTGCAAAGACTCCAATGATGCTAACACCTTTACACTCTGTATATAACTACCCCTACCTCATGTACTTCACTGTGTACATCGGACTCCTCTCCCAACCCCTACATACATACTTACATACATACTGAGGCCCTTGAACAACCCAAGTGATCCTTTACCATTGATAAATATAATTATATCTCTCACATGCAGAATAGACATGTTTGTGTAAATTGTGTTGTTACCTGCTGTACCTTGCAGTGATACATTACATGTAATCTGACTACTGCAGGTAATCACCCAAGTTTTCATGTCAAATTGTTCATCAGTCAGGAATTACGTAATGTTTATGTCAGTTACACTCCTGGACAACATTTTGAGGGTTTTCTTGTAGAAAGAGTAGTCTGTAGTGGTGATTTAGGTAAAAGTGAAACGTGATGGGTAGACACAAATATGTCATTCTTACTACAGTGTTAAAATTAATTATCTGTATTTACATGCATGGTTACCAAGGACACTACAACGATATCAACTTTAGTGTGGATCCTTTAAGTCTGCTCTCAACCAGCTGTTGATAGGACAACATGAACAGAAAATGTTTTTACATTGTTGATTGGTGTGGATTACATGGTGAAAGTAAACTGAAGTCCTTTCATAGTAAAGCAGGTGATAGCTGTAAGAAAGTGCATGATAAAGCAAGGACCAGAGAAAAAGGAAGACTTGTCTTATGACGGTAGAATCTGAAAGTGCTATCAATGGGGGGATGAATTTAGCAGAAGAAAGGGTTTTGGGGCTAGCGGGGGCGGGGTCAGAATGATATCAACAGGAAAGGATGGTTGACATGAGTAATAAATGAGTGATTAATACAGTAACAGACAAGTGATGTAGTTTATATAATGATGACCTCACAGATAGGTAAAAACAGATAGCTCCAATCACGCCAATTACTCTAGCCATGCAGCAGTACCACAATCAGCATGTCATATTGTATAATTACAATTAATGTGTTGAAAACCTATTTGTGATTAGACAAGACTGTGATATAGAGACACATCATGCCTGTATTATATGGCTCCCAGAGTGGTGTAGAACAGAAACTCCCAGTAGCAGTGTGATAAAAATTAATGGAAATAAATGACTGGAAAGATAATAATTTCTAAAACAAGGATGAGTAGTGTTATAGCAGCTGTTACAGCTTCAATCTATCCTGTATAGAGCATATGATATACGTTGTAGCAACTTGTATAGAAGGTGGGAGACCTTTACTGTGGACAGGTGTATCTACACTTCTCCTGGTGTGACATACCTAGATGATTGTTTTCTTACCCAGCACTGATTTGAATTCAGGAAGAGTGATTTTTGTCAGTCCATTTCATCGGGATTTTCCACACATCTTTGTATGACACCTAAAAGACAAGGTTTACTGATAGTTCACAAAGTCTTGTGTGGACCAGTGTTACTGTCTTCTTGGTCTAATGTGGACCAGTTCAAAATCTACTTGGTCTAGAGTTGACCAGTGCACAGTCTGCTAGGTCTAGTGTGGATCAATATACAAACCACCAGGTCAAGTGTTGATCAGTAAACAGACCACCAGGTCTAGTGTTGATCAGTAAACAGACCACCAGGTCTAGTGTTGATCAATATACAGACCACCAGGTCTAGTGTGAACCAAAATACAGACCACCAGGTCTAGTGTGGACAAATATACAGACCATCAGGTCTAGTGTGGACCAATAAACAGACCACCAGGTCTAGTGTGGACCAATATACAGACCACCAGGTCTAGTGTTGATCAATATACAGACCACCAGGTCTAGTGTTGATCAGTAAACAGACCACCAGGTCTAGTGTTGATCAGTAAACAGACCACCAGGTCTAGTGTTGATCAATATACAGACCACCAGGTCTAGTGTGAACCAAAATACAGACCACCAGGTCTAGTGTGGACAAATATACAGACCATCAGGTCTAGTGTGGACCAATAAACAGACCACCAGGTCTAGTGTGGACCAATATACAGACCACCAGGTCTAGTGTTGATCAGTATACAGACCACCAGGTCTAGTGTTGATCAATATACAGACCACCAGGTCTAGTGTTGATCAATATACAGACCACCAGGTCTAGTGTTGATCAATAAACAGACCACCAGGTCTAGTGTGAACCAATATACAGACCACCAGGTCTAGTGTTGATCAATATACAGACCACCAGGTCCAGTGTGGACCAATATACAGACCACCAGGTCTAGTGTTGATCAATAAACAGAACACCAGGTCTAGTGTGGACCAATATACAGACCACCAGGTTTAGTGTTGATCAATAAACAGAACACCAGGTCTAGTGTGGACCAATATACAGACCACCAGGTTTAGTGTTGATCAATAAACAGAACACCAGGTCTAGTGTGGACCAATATACAGTTCAAACTGTTTCATATGCTCAGGCATTTAGATGTTTTTTACTAAACATTGAACAGTAAATTGCTATATATTAATGAAGGGTTTTCTAGAGGTTTACCACCACATCAACACATCTGCTTGCCAAAGAGCACTTCAGTCAACATCATCTCCCTTCGTTGCTGGACCATGTAATACATGTGGGTTTGCACGAGTAGACCTGAGGATGATGGAGAGAAACAGATGTCTGTGTTACTGTTTTACCTGATCTGGTGAAATATTTACTGAGATTCTCCAATAGAGGAGGTTGGTCATTGTCTGTGATCTCACTGTGTCAGGACTACAAGGCTTATTTTACAAGGATTTTCTTCTTGGTAGAACTGGTGAGGTTGGAGTGGGAATGTACCGTTCTGTCTGTTACCTCAGGTTTTATAATAGTAGTCTCAGACACCAGTGACATAACTAATTACACAGATTCTGGAAGAGAATGGCATCAGGGACAGAAATAACTAGTTAGACATAACATCTGCAGCATGCTAGGTACTCTAATGTGTTTGATTGTTTAATTAGAATACATCATTTGCTTAGGGAAGACAGACTTCGCATGTTAACTGCTAGTATAGCCTTAGGTTTACACTTCTACACATAAGATCTTTAGAAAAACATTAACCAAGAAAATTTGTTGTAGATTGGCTAGGTTTCATTATAAGGCACTGGTCTTATAATATTGTGGCCTGTGAAGATTGTCTCATTGGGGACGTACTAAGAGATGGTTGTCCAGGTACTTAAACATCCTGTGACATTTGGGACAGATCGTGACATTGTCAGTGGTATATTAAAAATTCTGGACTGGGCCCACACAGGTGTTTAAGTTCAAGCTTTGTCTTCACTTAGTTTTTTTTATATGATTGGCAAGAAAATTCCTATCTATGGATTCAGGAGTGATTTGTTGAAAGCTGACTGATTCACCAGTCTTGAAGATATAGAGAGATATTACATATGAACATTTCTAACATCCGGTGTAACCGTCCTAAACTTAAATGTACACTAATACCTGTAAACCCTTCTGTTTATTTTCCTTCTTGTATTTACTGTTTACGTAGTTCACTTGAGGAAATCGTTCTCGCTATTCACCACTTGTTCAGGTTTGGCATGTTGAGTGGGCTGTCTCACTTCAACACTTTACTGAAGTTTTAAATCTTACCTGTCAAGTTTCTATTTAAAATATTTAATTTCTGTTCTGTAATCTTGAAAATTATTTACTTTGAAGGTGATTTTTAAAAAATCAAAAAAAAATTTACTGTCTCGTCAAAAGTTTGTTCTATAAACAAAGGGTTTTAAGCAAACAGGTAAATTACTATTTCTGGAAGATCAAGAAACTAACCTGGACCAGGACATACAATTTCCTATAGGTATTACTTGTTCTAAAAACTATAGTAACAATCTGGATATACAGATGTAACAAATAGTCATTTTGTAAAGGTTTTGTTAGTTCAGAAAGATCGAGGCATTTGTGAGTGTTAAATATAGTGATAAGTCATAACCTGGATAGAACTGTAACAAAGTATAGTGTGTAGATATTCTATAGTGTTAGACATATGTTCCTAGTTAATGTGTAAACCAAACAAACTGCATGTAAAGAACATACGCAACAACCTCTGACAGTTTGTGTCTAAACTTACACTCAACTTCAACCCTGTCCAACAAAAACAAGAAAATATTTCCTTCACAAATGCTCTACTTAGAGTGTGTATTACACTGGCATCTTTTGGCAACAGATGGGCCTAATCAGTGTTGGTGTTTTTTAAAGAAGACAAAATCAGCACCATAAAGTTGTGGTTTACAGGTATGTGAGAGGCCTCAGGTGAATCCCTTTTGAAGATGACCTGTTTTTTTTACACATAGTGATCTATTTTTGAATGAAATGTATAGATTTCCAGGGGTGTGTACATTGTGTAACACACAACCATTACTGTGACAGACATACAGATCGGACAAGGTCCACACAACACATGACAGACATACAAATCGGGCAAGTCCTCCCATCACAACCAAAGAACCAGTCAGCTTGTTGTTCTCCCTATAATACCAGTATTGTGTCTTATACCTGATCAGTGGAGGAGTGTCACAGCTACCTCTACCATGTCATTAGGTCCCCTGTCTTTTCCTTAGGCATTCATTACACCGTGAATTGTCTCAATGATAATTAGACCAACCATAC